ATTGCATGCTAATATTTATAATTTTAAAAGACATTAAAACTATTTAGTGTTAGAAAGATTGAAATAAATAGAACAATAATAAATATTATTAATATTTAGAGTAGACACTGTAAAACTATAGTTCATTTTGTTAGTTGATAAAAAATAACTTTTTTCAGGTGGATCGTTTAGAACGAGTATGCAGTCCTTGCTGGCTGAGGGCTTCCAGAGCTGTATGGAGACAGAGACAACAAAATGAGAACAGGGATATTGAGCTACAATCCATGAATATAGAAGACATCGGTAACATCCCACAACCACCCCCTATACCTGCACCTGTAACCCCTGCCATTTCCAGAGCGGCATCAACAATTACTATGGCTAATTATAAGCGTGCTGCTTCTACTTCCCGTCACTGTATTTTTAAGTCATGTAATCATTCATCTAGATTTTTAATACCTAAACTACTTAAAGAGAGATTGCTGATAGATCACTCATTTTATGTGCCACTGTGCGCTCGTATTTGTGAATACCATTTAAATGAACCCCACAATGATTGGAATAATTTATTCACGAGTAGTAACTGTTCAGATTTTACTGCATCTCAGATAGACAACCTTTGTTCCTTACTTAAAAGTAGTGTTACTCAAAATTATAATATTTTAAATATCATTGAACATAATTCAATATTATGCAAATATTGGTTAGGATTTACCAAATACCAATTTGAACAGTTACTAGTTGAAATTCCATCTATCAGTGAAAGAGTTAAATCACCTAAAAGAAGTCTAGCTATGTTCTTAGTGAAACTTCGTACAGGTGATAGCAATGAACGCATAGCTTCTCTATTTAATGTAGCTTCATCGACTGTGTTCAATCACTTAAATATTGTAAGTCAGTGCTTTGAAGAGCAATTCATCCAACTGCATTTAGGGACAAATACCTTATGCATTCAACAAGTTGCTCAATATAACTTGACAATACCAAATGGCTTGTTTGGTAATCCAGATATGGATCCTGAATTTATGCCAGCCATAGTAATATGTGATGGTACATACATTTATGTGCAAAAAAGTAGTAATTACTTATACCAGAAGCAAACATATAGTTTACATAAGTATCGTAACTTAGTTAAGCCATTTTTAATAGTGTGCTGTAATGGTTATATCCTTGATGTTTTTGGACCATATCCTGCAACAGAATCAGATGCTTCTATAATTCTTAGACTGTTCAACGATAGTAGTCCACTGCGAACCTATTTTAGAGAAAACGATGTATTTATTCTTGATAGAGGTTTTAGGGATGCAATTCCATTCTTGCAGCAATGTGGTTATAAGGCTTACATGCCTGAATCTAAACAAGCTGGTGAAATACAATTATCAACCATTGCTGCCAACAAGTCCAGATGTGTAACTTTGTGCAGGTGGGTGATTGAAATTGTAAATGGGAGATTTAAACGGGACTTCAAATTATTTCGTCAGGAATATTTTAATACTGCATCTACTCATCTCATGCTATACTTTAAAATTGCAGCTGCATTAATAAATCGATTTCATACGTTGATTCGTAATAATTTTCATGCTGTAGAGATATTGGCAATTGCTCAAGCCAAACTAAACACTCCAAATAATTTAGCCTCCTACGTAGAAATGCACAATTTAAATAGAGTGAGAGTGCGATTTGCCAGCATTAATGGTAATCTTCCAGAGCTGGATAGTTTTCCTCAACTGACATTCCAGGATCTCATTATGTTTAGTCTAGGAATTTATCAAATTAAACAAGCTCGTAGTTATTACGGGGAGCATGTCAGGGCTTCTGGAGAATATAAAATCGAGGTATACCTGCAATCTGTCCATGATTTTGGTCCAAATAGTTATCTATTGCGAGGTAGGATACAATCAAGGCACACTAGTAAAAAAACTTATTACACTTATATACTAGTTGACACCAACCCATCAATTGCTAACACTAGGGCTGCTCTTACTGGGTACTGTTGCAACTGTTTGGTAGGCAGACGCACTGTTGGCTGCTGTGCACATGTCATGTCTGTTGTCTGGTTTCTATCTTGGGCACGGCATCGAGATGAGGTTGAACCACCTGCATCTTTTTTAGATGATATATTACTTTCAAGTAATGATATTGAAAATGATGAATGATGATTATTAATCTTAATGCGTATTAATATTGTAATATAAATGATCATTTTTGCTATAGTTGCTTCACTTGTGGCAACCAAAGTTTTTTGTGGTATTCTATAGGAAGATGCTGCTCCCCATCTCCTAGTATTTTTATTTTATTCTGTCGACTTTAACGACACCATACGGGACGGAACGTGATGGCAATTCACGGAAGGCCTCTGTAATATTTTACATTATATCTTTAATTTAGGAGCCATATGTTCGGCAGTGGACTGTTGTAATGATGATGAATAATGATGACTAAAAATTGTAATTTTTGTTGCTTATTTGAACTATTTCTATTTTACTGTGTGCTTTATTATCTGTTATATATTATGTTATATGTGTAATTTATAAATAAACGCCGAGCAAAGTTGAATTTATTGCTTTGGCACCCTTTTTTATCTCTTTTAATTGACAATATCCTTCTGATTTCTAATAATATCGTAAACGGGCGAGACATTATATTTTAATGATGTATGGGATTTATACTTGCTAATAGATGAATACTTTAATGAACAAAGGGCCGGCACTGCACCTGTCTGCTGTGTTATTTTTAAAAGAGGACTCATAAAACACTGACGATTTTAACCATAATTAATGCAGTGATTATACATGATCTTTGGGACTTATTACATATCAATATCGTATCATAAATAGAAATGTTACCATCAAGTTATTTTGAAAAAAATCTTTTAATATGATCTTTTGATATGAAAACACGAAAAATGTTTCTACCTATGTCCGTTAGAAACCATCCAAGCGATTTTGATGATATGTTTATGTGTGTTTGAACGGGTCTCTATATGATTCATATTCACATATGGACTCGGTAGGTGGCGCTGTTGTCGAAATCCAGAAATCACCTGTGCGAAGTCGGGGCGGATCGCTAATAATAAATACAATTAAACTATACCTGTGTGTTTGTTATCCTGGCACAAACAGTTCAAAACATCTTACTTCCTCACAATTTATCAGTGTGTAATAACAGATAAGCATGATATTACCTAGTCATTTTGGTATTTTAGAACCCAGTCATTTTAAGATGTATAATTAGGTATTTAATAATCAACCAAAGCATATTAAAAAAAGTCTTGACACCGGGCCTGTCTGTCTGTCTGCATAAATAGATCTGAATTATATGTCTGAATTATATAGACTATGTTGGAAATGATGATTTACCATCTATAAATACGGTTGCATTATAACTTGTTTTTTACACAGTCAGTTTAAAACATCTTTCTTACTATATAACGTGTGTTGGTAATATTGTAAATATAAATGGATATATTATACCTTAGTCATCTTGAATTTATTCATATTATTTTAACGGTAATTGGGAAGTACACTCACAATCAATATATGTAAAAAATTGTATCCATACCACATTTGTACACAGACAGGCACTATATTTTGCCGTAACTACTAAAAATATTGAAGTACCTGAAAATGCTGAATGTACCTACAACTTGGTTTTATATGAACTATTATTCAACAGTGCACTATTTTAACTTAAAATACCGGTAAAAACCACTATAAATAGCTTTTAGTTTATTTATAGGTTATTTTAAAATTCATATTTTAATTGTCAATTTCTCGATTTTCCGTCTAGATGTGGTAAAACTAATATTACTTTTGTAAACTATAAATTATAAGGAATAAATCGACATCCATTTCATTGCGTGACGCGAAAATTTGTGGTGGGCCCATTCTCCATACAAAAATTGATTGTCTCCTTTAGATCGTGTAGTTTCAAATTATTACACAAAGGTAAAAAAAAATTCTAAACTTTTAAAAATATGGTATTTATTTGAAAAAACACCCGTCATCCTGATATAAGTAACAGAATCATATTATAAAAGAATATTAACATCTAACGGAACGAAAATACTTAACCTTCCTTTTTGAAGTTCCGTAATCAGATATAAAGTAGCCTATAAGCCGCCCTTGGTTACTAACTACCTACATACAAAACTGCAGGGATATCAGCCCCGTAGCTTTTGAGTGAATAGTGAATACACAGACAGCCTGACAAAAATTCTAAAAACGACTAATTTGGCTTATGTACCCTGGACTTGTTGTTTTAAGAATGTATTATAATTACAGACACGACTTTGCTACATATTTATTATATAGATTTATAGATTATATAGATACCGCCAAAACGGAAGGTGAACGAAAAAGATGTTTACAGTCATGTATTTCAAGTTTTTTTTTCTTTAAATTCACTACGTGTACAATAAGGTCCTACGCATACATTAAATGGGACTTATAACTTAGTGACATTTTAAAGGAAACAATGGGAACTTCATTCATATGGGCTTCACGAAAAATTGTGCAATTGGATCATCAGCTTTCTTGCAGATCGGAGCATCAAGGTCGTTGTAGACGGTGCATGCTCCAATTACAAGCCCATTAATGCTGGTGTTCCACAAGGCTGCGTGCTATCGCCAACGCTGTTTCTTCTGCATATCAATGATATGTTGCAAACCCGTAACATTCATTGCTATGCGGGCGACAGCACTGGTGATGACCATGCATACCATCTGGATGACTGTCGGTCCACCACTGTGCGATTTAAAAGAAGTTTTCTTCCTCGCATAACTTCCTTGTGGAATCGACTACCACCAGAGATTTTTCCGGACCGATACGACTCAGGGACCGTCAAGAAATGAGCCTACTCCTTTTTATAAGACCGGCAACGCATCTGCAATTCCTCTGGTGTTGTAGTTGGTCATGTCTATCACTTACAATCAGGTGAGCCGTATGCTCGTTTGCCCCCTCTACTATAAAATAAATAATATTAATCTTTTTGTATTAACTTATTATATTTTTCTTTTTCAGAAAAGCCAAAATACAAAGGCAATTTCCCTCCGAATCGGTTCAACATTCGCCCAGGTTACCGCTGGGATGGAGTGGACCGTTCCAACGGATATGAAAAGAAATATTTCGAACAGCAGAGCAAGAAGAAAGCGCTCGAGGAAGAAGCATATAAATGGAGTACGGAAGATTTATAAATGTCATTGTAAATAAATGATATTTTTACGTTAGAGTAAGTGTTTTTACATCTGGTTCCTTCCGATCGCACTAACGCTTGCCAAGTGTGGCAAATGTGGTAAATCCATAATGAAAATGGGATGTCCTATTCCTAAGCATAAAATTTTTTTCCTAAAGAACTTTATCCTAAGCACCTAAAATTCATCTGATGCTTCATCACCTTCATTGTAAGTATTTAAAAATCAGCATTTCTAATTAAAAATTTAGACAACTAAACTGAAGTAGGTAAGTCTTAAACGTGGTAGAGCCACGCTGCAGCTATATTATGGTTGTAGCACGAATGGGTCGGCTCGACCGGGGAAGGACCACGCACTCACAGAATACCAGCGTAAAACAGCAGGAATTTTTGAATACTTTCCGAAGTGGTCACCTCGATTGGCTTTCCTGGCCGTGGATCGTCTTCAAGCGTCTCTCTGCCTTGTTTAAAAAGGGTAAGCCACTTGTAAACCATATATAGTTTTACTTGGACAAGAGTCTCCGTAAACGAATGACATCTCTTCTAGTGTAGTCTGAACTGATTTTCCGCGCTTGATAAGAATCTATAACGGCACGGAACTCGATTTTCTCCATATTTCACAATTTCTTCCCGATTGACGGACGATTTGGTTGACGATAACTTAAAGACTATTGACCTAATTACAATAAAACCCGGTATTTATATTAACCTACCTACCCATTCCGCGAACTTAAAAACGAACCCTCTTACCAACTTAATATTGAAGCAATAATGTTGAGTGGCATTAATTAAAATAAAATTATGCCAAAACTGTGTGAATCACTATTATATAATATTAATCATTATAATGTTACGAGCTTGAGGTTCGTGACAATAAAAATTGCCGATAAAATTACTAAAATTAACACTTTAATTTTCTTTACACAAATTAAAATTTTAAACAGATAGAATATATAAAAAGCAAATTATCGTCGCTAACGGGTTCACTCTGTAACATAAATCAATGTATACCTAGGAAACTACGTTTCAATATTTACAATTCACTTATCAAATCTCATATATTATATTTAATAGAAATATGGGGCAGTGCCGCCAAAACGAAATTGCAGGAACTACAAAGAGCTCAAAATAATGCAATAAAAATACTTTTCTCCTACCCATACTTAACATCGACTCGTAAAATTTTTGATGACACAAAAATAATGAACATTCGACAACTTTATATATATAGCACTTGCATTCTAATTAGGAAGATCATGAGTAAAAACATCCAAACTAGTTTGTCCTTTACCAAAAAGTCACAAATATCCAAACGCAGTCTTCGTCGACCTAGCTTGCTCGTATTGCCAAAGACACGTACCAAATTAGGGAAAAAAAATATTACCTTTGAGGGAGCACACTTTTATAACAGCCTACCTTCTCATATTAAAAATATAGATTCCTTTAACAAGTTCAAGTCTCAATTGCACAACTACATTCTTGAAAGCTACTGACTTGTAATTTCGGAGAGTGTCACGATGGAACTGTGAATACGGTGACCGTTACCTAGATTAAGTTTATATTATTGTTCTCATGTAAGTGGATTATGTAATCTTTTTTGTGAGAATAAATTCTTTAAACCTAAACCTAAAACTTAAAACACTAATAATTAAACACACTAATTCACTTTATTCCGCTCCGAAGCTTCGCTTGTCTCGCCAAATCCAATACTACCCCGATCGCATCTTGCAGCGCCTATATATACAAATTAGCAATGAAGCATCCGGAATATTCAAGTAAATGCGCGCAAAGCGACGAGTGTTCGCGTGTAAATTTTCTAGAAACTTAGACGTCGGATGGCGCTGTCGGTTGAAAGATTTGTGATGTCATTTTCTGTAAAGCTCCCCTCGCTCTCGTTCCTGACACTAGATGGCGCTAGTGTATCGTCGACTTGAGCGCGTAACACTGCCCCCTCCTAAGACATGCTCGTCCCGAGCATTATCGGCCCCATAATAACGAGCCAAGCAATCCACATGGACGATCTTAGGAGTCCCCTTTGCGCCTTTCTGTAACGGCTCGGCAATGTCAAGGGATGTCCTATCCCGTGGTCAAACAGTACAATCGATGCTCCTCTACTCCGTGTCTGAGGTCCCTCACAGCCGCACAACTTGTACATGTACGACACCAATCCTCGACATCGTCACGATAATGGACCCAGTAAAACTGTTCTCGGACCTTCAGTAGAGTTCGTTTAACTCCCAGATGGACTCTTGAACGACCATTATGGCACAGCTGTAGAACATTCGGCACTTTAGCTTTAGGGACAACCATTTGCAGACGACAGCTGTCTCCTCGACCATTGTCCCATTTACGGCACAGGACTCCATCCTGAAGCAGCAGGCTGTCCCATTGGGCCCAATAGCTTTTCGTGGTTGAACTCATCGCTGAGACGTCCCTCCACTTAGGCTTGGTAGCACGGGCCTTCATCCATCCCAGAATCGGCTTGATGTCCAGATCTTCCTGCTGTGCATGTCGTAGGCTGTCCTTCCACCCATTGCTGAGGTGGTCTTTCCTGAGCATCTTCACGGATACTACTTCCTTACTCTCTTGCCTACTACAATGGTTGCAATCTTCAGGAAAAGGTCTTCTTGACAATGCATCTGCGTTGCCGTGAGATTTCCCGCTGCAGTGTCTGATAGTAAAGTCGTATTCCTGCTGCTGCTGGGCGGTGCTGTTAGCCGCACTTCCTTTCTGAGACCGTTCACCTTCCCTTCCTAGGGTGTGCTTAGGGCAGCTGGACCGAAGATGGCCCCTTTCCCCACAGCAATAGCACCTAGGGCTGTATCCTTTATTGTGGTCGCGAACCGTAACTGCTGCAACCTCCCTAGCGTGAGGTGAACGACGATCCTGTCGCCGCCAGGCAGTGCCGTTAGCTACACTACCCTCCTGATATCGTTCACTTTCCCTTTCTAGGGTTCGCTTAGGGCAGCTGGATCGAAGATGGCCCTTTTCCCCACAGCCATAGCACCTAGGGCCGTATCCTTTGCTGCGGTCACGGACTGTAGCTGCTGCGACCTTCCTGACGCGATGGAAACGATGATCCTGTCGCACGGCTTCCACTTCCAGTGCATGGGCCAAGGCGTCCTTAAGCGTCTCGTGGTGCCCAAGCCTCACAGCAGCTCTGACTTCCAGGTTGCGGATGCCGTCGATGAATGTCCTTCATAATGACGATATGAATAGGTTCCCTTCAATGAGCGCAGGTACAGACCGGTATGCTTTTCGCACCAGCTTCTCCACCTCTAGAGCCCACTGCTGCAGGTTTTCGTTGATGCGCTGCACACGATCTTTAAGCTGCGCACGAAAGACGTGTTCCAGGTGAGCGTCGCCATATCTCGCCTCCAATGCCTCAAGGAGTTGCTCATAAGTCACTTCCTCACCGAGAGCTTCCAGAACAGTTAAGGCCTGGTCGCGCAGGCCTAGTGTGAGAGCAGTCATGGCCTGACTTTTATTCCAGCCGTTCGCCTTCATAACAGCCTCGAACTGGATTTTGTAGGCTGACCAGGAAGAAGTCCCGTCGAACGGTGGCACTTTGAACCCACGTAGCGAAGGTGTAGTAGCTACTACGGGAGCTGTAGTTCCATCACCCATTTTGAGGTCGTCCAGCGTTTTCTTCACGTCAGCCACCACGTAATCAACCCGATTGTTCACTTGTTCGATTTGGGTTTTAGCTTCCTTGATGTGGGTTTCAGCTTCCGCTAGGCGGTTGTCATGTTGAGCAACCCTATCCTTCACCTCCTTTATCTCTTTCCCAAAGGTAGCATGAAGGTCCTTAATGAGGAGCATCTGCTCTTCCGACCGACGGGCCTGCTCCTCCTTTCGGCGGGCCTGTTCCTCTTGTCCGCCCCGCAGCTGCTCCTCCAAACGACGAACCTTGTCTTCCTGTCGACGGGCCTGTTCCTCCTGTCCGCCCCGCAGCTGCTCTTTCAACTGACGGACCTGCTCCTCCTGTCAGCGAGCCTGCTCCTGCAGCATCACCATCAGAGCACCTAAGTCAGGTACTGCAGATGTAGGAGCTACCAACGGGCCTGCAGCCGGTGGCTGGCCTTCCGACGTCTGCGGCGTTGCACCACCAAATCTCTTCTGGTCCGTCTCCTGCTGGCGTTGACTTCGGGTACGGACATCCTCCGATTCCTCCTTTGAGCCGTAAAATCGGCATGATTTTATCCCACTTCTGACACCAATTGTTACGAGCTTGAGGTTCGTGACAATAAAAATTGCCGATAAAATTACCAAAATTAACACTTTAATTTTCTTTACACAAATTAAAACTTAAAACACTAATAATTAAACACACTAATTCACTTTATTCCGCTCCGAAGCTTCGCTTGTCTCGCCAAATCAAATACTACCCCGATCGCATCTTGCAGCGCCTATATATACAAATTAGCAATGAAGCATCCGGAATATTCAAGTAAATGCGCGCAAAGCGACGAGTGTTCGAGTGTAGATTTTCTAGAAACTTAGACGTCGGATGGCGCTGTCGGTTGAAAGATTTGTGATGTCATTTTCTGCAAAGCTCCGTCGCTCTCGTTCCTGACACTAGATGGCGCTAGTGTACCGTCGACTTGAGCGCGTAACAATAATATAATGTTATATTCCTGGCAGCCGAGATGGACAGACACAAAAACTAGGGCTTTATACAATGCCGGCCGTGGGACTTTCATGATGCAGGATTCACCTCAAACGTCGCGTTCTACAGGGACATTGACGACCGCATTACTGCAGGGTTAGCCAAGTTTAGTTTCTACAATCGCTAACGCTAGTAAAAAGCTAAAAAATACATAACATGCATGTTTATTACATATTATGTAATATGCATATTATGTACTTGATACTAAGGACAGTGTATATGGTATTCTCGTCTCTAAAGAGCTTTACAATTAGCTTGGAGTCAGACCTGACGTAAAAGAAAAAAGAAAGGTGAGACGCAACATTTTGATGGGGTGAAGATGCGTGGTGGTGGGT